TTTTCGATTGATTGATCCTGTTGTTGGGTTTTTTTTTGTTTTTTTTTTAAAAAAAGGAACAAAATCAACTTTGGTAATATGGGTTATTTATTTGTATTTAAAAGAAAATTGATAAGGGGATACATTTGAAAAGGACATGAGTGCAAATAGTCAGTCACATATATGCATTAGTTTAAGTTGCTATACTTCATTAGTACAACAAGATGAATACTCATTTCGTAGAAACAGTTACTTCAGTAGTAGTAATATATAAAAATAAAGATTGCATATAACGATATGATACAAAGAAGAAAAGCATAAAGTAACTTTAATCTCATAGTTTAAGGGAAGACAGAGAGTGTGTATATCAACGCCATTGTGATCGATTCTGAGCCATGTCACTCAGAGTTTCCAACCACTGGTTACCGATAGTTGCGCGGATCCCAACCATGTACTTTGCATCTACCAATATTGCTCAGACTAGAAGTTAGTGACTTTTTGAACTGATGTTACGTTTTGGTTTAGCCTCTGGCAAATAAGTCTTCCATGATAGATGTTTACTTGTTGCTTTTTAGATGTCTTGTTTTTTTTTGTATTAAAATAATCATATTCAAACCTAGAGTGTAAGAGTGAGTGAGTGAGTAAACTGTTTGTAAAAAATCAAACTTTGTTCACTTTACTTATGCATATTTAGGGATATGGTATACGTGTCTGTGAAACGGAAGCCCATTCATTTTGCAATGTTTGTTGATATGCAGAATTAGCTTAGTACACTAATATATGTTTGTTGTATTATAAATTAACTCATGCCATCATTTTAAATTAGTTCGTATGCCAATATCATTAATTTTATATACAAAGATTTCTGCTACCTCGTTAATTATACCGTATAAATATTTTCAAATCATTCTATTAGGGTTTCGTCTTTTGAGCTAGATGGTTTAATCCTAAAGTTTTCATTGTTCTTCTGATCACTATCATACACGCAAACTTTAGGCAAAAATAAGGTATTCGAATTTCTTCACATATGACTAACAGCTTATCAACAATATATCAGTCAGCAATAAGCAGTCAAGCTTAAGCTCGACAGAACAAACTGTCAGCCATATGTAAAGACATTCTAATATCTTACTCTTTCCTAAAGTTTGTGCATATGATGATGATTAAAAGAATAATCAAATCTTCACTATTATACCCATCCATCTCAGAGAACGAATCTCCACAAAAACCATTCATCTAAACTACTAATCTTCTTTACTATTTTCAAATCATTCAGCGGTATACAAAACTTAACTTGGACAAATGGTATTAATCATTTCACTAGTATAACATATTCTCTGTTCAATAACGAATATAACGTTTAATTAATTTTTTCCTTTGAATACAATGAACTATTTGTTTCATGTTCATTTTCTCCTGTTTTTTATTCGAATTCATAAGAGACACTAATTGGATAAAGTTTTTTTGTTCATCGTGGAGTTCATGAACAGAAAAATACAAAGTTCTGTATAAAATTTCGAAACATGCAAACTTAGTTCCCATAAAAAGATAAACTCAACGAAAGTATACTGTAATTATAATATTCACTGTCTCCTAAAATATCGTCGTGAAAGTAAAATCAATTTTCAGTCATCATGTGATATAAATGGGTAATTTCTTGAATAAGCATTTTTTTGGGTTAGAGTAATGATGAATGAATCTTTTATGGGGTGGCATTAATGAATATTTATGAAGTTAGTTTTTTCACATTTCAAATGTCAAGAAACTGCAAGTTACCTTGGATAATTCGTTAATTATGTTAAAATGTTATATATATTTAGTTCCATTTGTTTCCCATGATTTTTTTCTTCAAAAAGTAACCATACCCACTATCTCCGTCATCACCACTTGGAGAGTTTCTTAACTTCGTTCATATTCTGTAGTCTTATATATTTTAGCGTCTTAACAACCAAATGTTGGTGGGTCTTGTTTATTTTTATGTGGACGTCAGTAGGGCTATTCGCCATTACATTTTGAATTTCGGGCAAAAATCCAAAACTCACTATCTTTAATCTAGTTAATTCGTTAGTGTATTTACTAAAAACTGCTAAATGAAAAGTTGACCTGATTCCCTAGCCTCTTCTAATCACCTCAGACTAAATATACACGAATACTGTAACATAAAATTAAAGGCGCAAATGGTGAAAAGAATGCTTTACTCCTAGTTTTGTTTATGTACGAAAAAATGACGGTATTCATAAAGTTGAATACAACCTTTGGCTTTTGGAATTTTTTGCGAGCATATTAAATATAATTGAAGTTTAGGTAAATACCCAATCAAAGAGGTGAAACGTGACTCTTCACTTTCTGGATGCTTTTAAAGAGTTTTCATTCAACACCACTTGGATAGTGTTTCCAAGAGTTTTCTGGACGATTGTTGACTCTTCGGATGAATACTTTGGGACCCCATTCAACATTTACTAGTTATTACCCTAGAACTCTTGTGACACTATTGCATTGTATTTTTAATGCTAAGAGTAATTTAACTCAGTAATCAATTACAAATTTATCCTTACTGATTCTTTTCGTGCTAGGGCCTATTATATTTATTATCCCGTTTAAAATGGTGTTTGTATCTACAACTCAATAGACAGAAATCGAGTGTACACCACTTTTCCATTAACTTCAGTAATAGTATCAAAACATATTATTTCTGTGGTATTCTCTATCATTCCTTTATATTTTCCTTTTTTAGAAATCATTTGTTTGACCTTATTTGATTATCATATAAAATGCGTTGATTAATAAATGTATGTGTGTGTGTGACCAGGATACTTGAAGTGTATATTGTGCAAAAAGTACATCCCATTTTTTTGTAATCGAATTCAACATTTTTCCTTCATATCAATTCTGAATAACTGCTTATTGTATTGAATATGTAGGTTGGTTAGATTAGTGATTGACTGCAAGATATGATGACACTTTTAATGAAACTGATGCTTCTCGTAATTTTGTTAATCGTTGACACATCATCTAATGTTACAGTTTGAAATATGTGACGACAGAAGTTTTTGCGATGTTAATGACCTGCTGTTATAGAGTTTAATTGTTTTTAGGGATTGATAAGTAAATATTAACCAGTATCTTGTGTCTCTGATCCTTGGAATCGAATTGAGTAAGTCATATATGATGTAGAACCTGGCATATATATGCATCGCTTTAAGTTACTACATCATGTTAGCACGATGAGATGAAATTATCAAGACAGATTCCAAGATGATAGACTTTGCAATAGCGGTAGTAGTCGTGTCACTTGTAATAGAAAACTTTACGTACATAGAATATGATTAAGAAAATAATTCTTATGATAACAGTATGAGATAATTCTGAAGCTCAAGACTTAAGAGTAAGGGAAGTTAGGTAGTCGATGAATCTTCCTCTGTGTAGATGATTCTAAACCACATTACTTTAAATCCTCAATAATTAATCATGATCATCCCAACGACTCCAGTTAAGCTATATTTGCCTACACGTTTTAGTCCAACAGTCAGTCACTTTATAGAACTATGTTACAGCGTTGCTTTGATGATCCCTTGTTTTTTTTCAGCTTACTCTTATACCAGACATAATCCATGTCCCATATTACATTTCATTCAGGCAACCGAACTTCTAACGCGTTATCAACTTAGCTATTAAGTATAAGTACCCATTAGCTTAAAATGTTTGTGATATAATGGCAACATCAAGGAAATCCGTTTCTCAATGCAGATAGGCCAAGAGAGACTGAATAATTTCTGACCTTTACACCAACAACGGGAAGATCATAAACCAACCGATCTTAGGTGACCATTGAAAACCTAATATGTTTTTATCGATTTGTTTTCTGTTTTTATGTTGTATATATTTGTGGCAATGTAAAAATCAGAATTTATAGACAAATTCCACCTACCTACATCATTATTGTTAGTATCATCATCATAATCTCATTGATTTGTCTATATTACTGTGTATGTATGAGTGTTTATGTTTATCGTTGAGTAAACTAATGTCTCTTGATTCTTCCATTTTTAAATATTAAATATTGAAGATAGTTTTTTGTGCAGAAAATAAAACTATTCAACGTACTAATGATTATATCAGTTTTTTAATGGTGTTTATGTCGTCTTGTTGATACTGTAGACTGAACTTTGATCAGTCTTTGTTGGCATGTATACCCACTGTGCCGATTGTCCCAATGTAGCGAAATTGTCACGAGATTGTTTAGAATAGATAAATTGTGGCTAGTAGTGGGTTCAGAATTAAGCGTTTCGTCCTATATGGATGTATCTGTATCTCAGTATTGAGCGTTTAAAATGAGTCTGTGCTATGAATATCAATACTAGGATCCACCTAAATCTAGTTGTAGCGAGCCTAAAAATGGAGCGAAACATACATTATGGATTCTCCTCTTAGTCATAATCCATCTGTTCTATTCAATTAGGTTAATTTGTTCGAGGTATTATATTATTTGTACTGGTTGATTTAGTTGTGCAGCATTTATTGTTTTTCTTGACATCATCAGTACATATTTAGAAAAGGATTAAGCGATTAGAATTCTTTTATCACAATCGACCAACAACTTGTTCTATGAATATGGAATTTAATTAACTGATTGTGGTTGAAACTATGTAAAACAGAATATCCTACCAACTACCTACAACTATCTAAAATTTCTCTTTTTCTTTATAGAGTCATGTGATTTGTTGTCCATTTAGTGTTTTTTTTAAAGGTTGACCTAAATCTAGTATTTTACACTTCAGTTTATTCAATGTATAGAAGTGGATTCTTCTCTATTTCATGTTACTCTTCAAAAATTTATTTCATACTAGACAACTTTGTTCTCATTTTATGTTAAATTGTTGACAATAGAAAGTGTTTATTTTCTCTTATTATAAAGGTTTAAAAATATGTATGTCTCTAAATTGGTTAACGAAACAATCACTACTCAACTATTTTCCTCATTTCTTTTCTTTCCTTTTTCTTACACATACACTCTATAACAGATTTCTAATTGAAAATGGTGCAAGTCTCTCCATTTTAAGTGTAGATCTAGAATTACCAATTGATGTAGCACAAGATGAAGAAATGATTAATCTACTTACAGATTCAATGAAAAAGCAAAATATCGACGGTGATGCTATTAAACATTCAGAAGAACAAATGCTTTTACATGATGCACAACATTGGTTATCCAGTGGTCAATATAAGTAAGTTTTTTTTCTCACTTAATCTATTCATGATGGTGTGATATTTTGTTTTCATTAGTTCTAAAGCTTGAAGGAAAACTCTGTTTTCGATCACATTAATACTACCATTGTGGTATATGCTACTTATATCGACAGGTATGAGTAGTATATGACATCAATCAAAAGTGGAATGCCTAGCAGCAGAAGGTTAGGGACGTCGAATGGAAGAGAATGACAATGAAAGGACGATGAATTTTGAGACAATTGATGAAGGATTCGCAAATGCATTATTTACTGCATGGTTTTCACAATTGACGAAAGAACTCTAATTTTGTATTAAAATACAATTGGTTATCTTAACCTGTTTTTTGTTTATTACACTACTACTACTACTACTACACAATCTCACATTTCTAGTAACAATGAGATTAGATGTGGGCATGATGTAGGCTCATGTTGTGATCCATTGTTGTCTTGATACATAGTATGACGTCTTGGCCCAATCCTCATCTATTCTAGGTCATATGTTATCTGTTACTGATTAACTGGATATCGAGAAAATATATTTTACTTTATACTCGTATGCAACAAAGTTTACTTATATTTTATGTATGCTTAAAATTAATATTTTTTATTGTTACTTTAAAGTAATTGACTGACTAACTTATACATCTTTTTAACGTTATAGACCAGTTATTGATCCTAGAACTGGTGCCACTCCCTTACATGTCGCAGCTTGTAAAGATTATACTAAAGCAATGGAAATTCTTTTACAAATTCCCGGTTTAGATATAAATGCTAAAGATTTCGATGGATGGACTGCATTACATGCAGCAGCACATTGGAATCGTGAAACATCTGCTCGAATGTTAGCTAACGCTGGTGCTAGTTTTGATGAGCATACACGTGCCGTAAGTCCTCCTTTGTGTGTGTATTTCTTTTCCTATTGAACACTTACATGTCAGTTCGTTTAATAATGATGTGAACTGGGGTTTATTAATCCGTAGGCAACACGTCCACTATGAGCAGGCAGTGAGTAGGGATTTTCTGGCAGTGGCTATAAACCCAGGGCCATGTGAGAACATTTCTAAGGGGGAGAAAACTCTCCCCACCCTCGGACGTATCATGGCATTTAGGGGCCAATATATCAACATTATTCAAATTCTGTAACTAACAACCCTAGTGTCTCAACTTGTGTATTTATTTATTTAAGTACATAAAAATCCTAATAGAATAGAGAAGCACCAAGAAAACATGCTACACAAATGAATGGATAATATTGTGGAGAAAAAAGCAGTAAAAGGTAGTGTAGTAAAAAAACTAATTGAACAAGAATAGTATTCGATAGGAGCTACATTTCAATTAGGAATATAGCCAATAAAGATTTCATTTTTTAAAAGATTTCTTTTCTCGTGTACGAAGATTGTAATCGAAAACTATACCAAAATAACCACTGGTTTTTGGTCTAACTCATATCTAATAACGTCTCAAACCACTGTGTTGTATGATCAACTATCTATCATATCACAACACTATGTTATAAACTGATCACTTCTCCGTTTTATCCATACTAATGTCAGTGTCAATAAATAGTGCACGATGTGGAGGCCACTAAGATTACATTTATCGAGTCAGTCTTTCATTAGTGACACCAATTAAGTTTTCGTTACTCTACACAAAGCACAGTCCTAAACCTCCGCATTCATAATATTGTGTTACCAACTAAATATAAAAATTCTTTCAGAAACAGCGATAATCAAACAAGGATAGTGATGGTACATTAACATATTATCTAAGCTAGATTTCACAATCATCAAGCAGAAGTAGACTTACTGACATATGTTAAACCTAGTCATTTACAATGAGACTAACATCATCTAGATATTAGAGATAAATAGCCTAGATTAACTTTCAGTATACATAAATTAACCATATCTAACATATAGTACAAGGAGGCACCAAGTAGATATGCGCCACACAAATCATTCGATTTGTGTGAGGGCTGTGATACTGCCCGGGTGCCCAAACCGAAGCAGGTGTTTTTCTTAGGGGGTCACACCCCGAGCATTTGACCCAAAGGTCTGACCCACAAGGCAGTGGAGCATCGTAAGGAGATGCAGTCCCATGGTAGCCGGTGACTAATGATTGGTTCATACGCCATTTGTTCCATCAGGATACTGGGGCCCATGTGCACCATTAGTTTGGGATCCGGTTGAAGCATCGTACATTCGCTTTTCGTCCTCTCATTTTCGTAAACAACACAAAAAAGATAGAAAGATAATATAAAATTCACACAATAAGTGTTAACTAGATTAATTTGTAATAAGAATTATATCTAAATTTCTAATTAGAATATTTCAATGAATGAATGTCTTTTTATTTCATAATATATTACGTCATAAATTTTTTTCTACTTTAAGTGTTCTCTTTTCTTTTCTTTTTCTTATCTTTTAACGTTATACACAATTGATACAATTACTGAGGAGTTAATTAAATTTGTCTTTCATAGTTAGTGTATTATTATTATTATTATTATTATTATTATTATTATTATTATTATTATTATAATCCACTCAAGGGTACTAATAAATTTATGACGTACAAGGATAGTAAATGTTTCAACATTTATTACTATACTATATGTAGGCAGTATTTATGTGTGATGATGATAATGATAATGATGACTGATTAACTTAATTCTATAGAAAAATTCACTAAAATTTGTATTATACCTGAATAATCGTTAACTACATTTATATTCATTAGTAATTGACAATTGACATGGTTATGATTGTTTTAATTTAAACGATTTTAGATTTACAAATCTACATGTTTGAACTTTGTTTCATCCGGTTATTTATTTATTTGAACACATAAATACTGGTACAAAGAGGCATCGGATAAATATGCACCACACAAGTCACTTGATTTGTGTATGGGCTGTGATACTGTCCTGGTGCCCAGGCAAAAGCAAGTGGTTTTCTTAAGGGGCCACACCCCGAGCGTTGGACATAAAGGACTGATCCACAAGACAGTGGGGCAACGTCAGGAGATGAACTACCGTGGTAAACGGTGACCAACAATAGGTTCATACGCCGTTTGTTCCCTCAAGACCACATGTGAACCATTAGTTTGGAATCAGGGTTTTCCAACTCCCCTGGATGAATACTTCATATCCACCAACCAGGTTAAAGCACCGGAAATTCGTTTTTCGTCCTCTCAATTTCGTAAACAACGGTAATGCCGCGAAGAGGTAGTGAGTAGGACTTCCCTGTCAGTGGTTTTATGCATATGGCCATGTTAAAGCATATATATATATTCTTGAATTGGTTTAGAAATAAATTGTATCAATGTTGATGGTTTTGTAGGTGCTCGTGTTAAATCCCTGATCACAAGCGATAATTCCTTGTAGTTAGTTACAAATAGTTTTAATATTGTGAGCATCTGTTTGTCGAATAGACTTTTCCAACCTATCGCGACGATTCCCAGAAAGCGCAGCGAAGTTTACAGAGGCTATGGAGGAGCTGAAAATATCCGATCCATTCAGATTCCGGCAGAACTTTTTAGAATACCAATGTAGCATTCTATGGTTGGACAATTGTATAACCTCCTACGTAGAGTTCGGCTGTATTAAAATAATGTCATAGTTTATAATGAAAACTATAATACCTCTATTTTTCTGTATATTTCCGACACTCAATAACAGCATCTCCTGCTTTCTTCCGTCTTTTGATTCGCGACTGTGGGTTTCTTCGCGTTTGACTTTCATTAGCCATATACCGTATTAGTCGTAATCAAGTCGAAGATATAACATAACCCATGTCTAATTTTATGTTTAATGCAATGGCTATAAATACGAGTTTCCCTTTGAAGATATTTTATTACAGTATAGTCGACAGTATAATGTTTTGTCATATTACTTTTCGATTCACCTTTTTCATTTGCTTGAATTTTAATAAATAAAGGTTTCTAATACCAATATGTAGCTTGAATAGTTTTACTACGAATATCGTGTCCAGCTAACAGTTGCAATTGAGCTCTAGTCTTCTCAAGTGGTCTGTACATGGTCAAATACTTGTACTTTCTTATTTTGCATCATTATAAAATATTTCACGTTGATGACTATAAGTCACTAACTATAAATTAGATTGTCTATTTGCTTACACACGCTAATCCTTCAGAGATAGCATAAGAAATATCGATTAATAGTACTGGACTATCTCTGTGCAGCTTTTTGTCATAAGGTAATGGACATAAATAATTATAGATTGTAAAGCTACTATTTTAATCAGCAAATGTTGTATACCGCTGGAGCAGTGGGTCAGTTGTGTTTAAACTATTCGAATTGTAGCCATCAATTCACAGGCTTGAACCATGCTCCGACTCGATAACTATGTAGTAGCCATAAGCCCAAACATTTATAGAGTGTAACTCGGAGCCAGTTACACGGATTTGTCTATACCTGGTAAATGATTTGAAAAGGAGCTTAGAAATTATTTTCGTCTTCCTTTAGGTCTTAATATTTTAACACACACTGTCTGTTAAACTTTAAGCTGCCGGGTTTAAAAAAATATATTGCTGCTAGTACTAATTCCTTGTATTATATTCATGTCATTGGAATAATTTCACACAATAACTTGCCATTCTATTTACGGTTGATTGTGGAGACCAATTCACTTATTTTAATCAAATATTGATTCATACATTACGTTACCAATTGCTCAATAAACAAACTTATTTTCATTTTCCTCTCTTTTCTATTCTCTTTTCTCAGAGTCAATCTGTATTCGATGTAGCTGATAAAGAAATGATTGTGTTGCTTAGACAACTTCGTGAAAGACAAAGAGCTGTAAGTGGTTTCTGTGTGTCATCGTTTTTTCTACCGAGTTTGGTTCTCAATGTATGAGCATTAAAAATAGTGGATAACGTGTACATTCAGGTAAAAATTCTCTAACTGGGATGAAACGCGCGTCATGGATCCTACTACCAGCCACATATTGAATATATCGAAAATTCTAACTGATAACCTATTTAATGTCAGGCCTTGGCAACAGAATCCAGGACATGCATCTCTCTTTCGAGACTATTCAGCTAGGTATCTCCTCTACTTGTGTCTCCAGTGTTGTTATTGTTCACATTGATACTTGAAGTCAGTATCTTTCACTTTAAATGCTTAATGTGTTGTCCACTAAGCTACCGAATCCACATAATCTTTTACCTACTTGTTCTCAACCGTTATATAAATATTAAAGGTTTGTGATTTCCCATTATTGATATTCTGAACTCATAGCTCTTCTGTCTCATATTCAGTAATAAATGTAGGTGAAGCCAGCCATTGTAGCCGTAAGCCTCAACATACTCAAGGGTAAAATCAAGATCCTAAAATACAATACAGCGAGTCCCGACCAAATCACACTTGTTAGGGAAGCTGTAGAGGAGGTTGAGACTCACATACCACCTGGGTAGCATCGCTCATAAATAAGGGGGCTCTAACGCAAATATGAGGGCATGGATTGGCAAAGCAAGGGCGGAATTCCTAAAATCGTGGTACATGTGAAAGTAAAAACAACCGATACTCAAACTAACGTCATTATTTTCAGCGAAAACGTCAGGAGAGTTTATTACACGGAGCTGATACCTTTAGAACTACAGTCATCATCAAAGAGGTACAAGCATGTATAAACAGTTGTCTACTCAAGATACTCAATGTCTGTTAGCCGGATCGCATCAGCAACAGCCCACTGCGGCGGAGAACAAACCAACTTACAGATGAAATGGAAATTACGAAAAGACATTGGAAGTGGATAAGAAATACATTACAGAAATCACGAAAATTCATCATGACGCAAGCTCTTAATTGGAATCCTGAAAGGAAACGTAAAAGTGGAAGGCCGAAAAACACACTACGTCCAGAATTGGAAGCAGACATGAAAAGGTTGAGTAGCAATTGAAAAAAACTTGAAAGATTTACCCAGGACACGGTCGGATGGAAAATGCTGATGGGTGGCCTATGCTCTTCTACTATGGCTAACAGGCATAAGTTATTGAGTAAGATATTAATGACTGCAGTCGATCAGTTCCTATTGTTATTATTATTGTTTATTGTTCTTCTTAAATTATAAGTTAATGTATTTAATATTTCTAGGAAAGATTATCCAATGCATCTAAACTACCAGAATCATCGAAAATAACAGAAGCAGTTAAACGAAGGTAAATAAATTATTTTAAATCTATTTATCTTTATTATTCATTAAATTTACATATAATAGTTTATATTTTTCTTACTTTGATCTTATAGGGTATTTTTGTTATCATATACTACTCTTTTTTCCCTCGATTCTTTTGTTTTACTTTATAAAATGTATAATCAAACTGTGCATATAATTTTAAATATTTCTTAAGATTCTTTGTACGATGACGACAACAACAACAACTGCTACTACTACTTATTTATTTATTTCGACACATAAACATTGGTACAAGGAGGCACCGAATACACATGTGCCACATAAATCATTCGATTCGTGTAAGAGCCGGGATATTACCCGTGTGCTCGAACCGAAGGGGGGCAACATACCGAGGCTTTAACCTAAAGGTCTGATCCACAAGGCGATGGAGCAATATAAGGAGATAAACTACATATGATAGCTGGTAACCAATGACATAAAAAAATAATTGACACGACATTACAGAGCATCTCAATAAAATCTAAGAACCATATAATGAATAGTTAATTTGCAAAATATCAATCCATTTTCTTAAAAATCACTGTTCCTTTTGCAAATATCAGTCCATTGTCTCCGATTTCATTTGTTCATGCATTTTCATACCAAATTCGTTCCGTTTCCGTCCTTACCTTATCGATCTTCTGCTGAAATAAATTCTATGCCTGACCACCGTTATATACTACTTATATGGATATAAATGACCCACACCACATACCTAGTAAATATAAAGAAACAATTAATTCAACAACGATATCCTTTTCAACAACTCATTTTTTCAACGTTATTCATTTGTGTACGTATATTTGATAAATTTAATCGAAGTTTAACAAATAAACACTTATTCATTGAGCTATACCACTGTAGTTTATACTACTTATGTCGACAGATATAAGTAGCATGTAACTCCAATTAGAAGCGGAATGCCTGGCATCAGAATGTTGAGAAGATTGAGTTGAAGAGAACAGGAATATAAAGGGAGAGTAATTGTAATAGTAATAGGAATAAAGAATCAATAAAGTTCGTAAGAGACAATTAATGGAGGTTATGCAAGTGAAGTATTTAATATATGGTATTAAACAGTAAATTGGTTTTCCAATAATTGAGTATCTGTTGGCTAAACCAAATGTACATATACGATCGTAAAGTTTTGAAAATAAAGTCCGTTGTCAATGTTTCTTTCGCTAATTAAATTGTTTCATAATATTTAGAAATAATGATACATTTTTTCATACTTTATGATGACAATCAACTAAACTAATCAATAATCTATAACTAATGTACGTGTGTATGTGTACTTGTCTGAAATCGGTTTCTGTTTTTCATGTATAGATGTTCATTAATCACTAAGTGTTCATACTGAGAGAAAAATCACTTAGGTGTCATCATAATCAGGCAATACATATTGATTTTAATGAAGTATATATATTACAATTAAAGTGATTAGTATGATATGACAAATATTTCTCAAATATTGTGAGTGTTGTTCACTAAATTGATTATATAAATAATAGACAAAAGTCTTCTGGTTACATTCTCACATGCGTCATCGTGAATGCTCATTGCTAATGAATCCCATACTTAGAAGAATCGGCCATCCAGTTTATCCAGGTCTTCAATGGTTATCTAACATCGATCGACTCATGATTTCATTGGGAACTCAACAATCTCCACAACCCTATCCTAAAAAATAATAAACAATTTTGTTAAGATTTATTGAAAAAAAAACAAATAACTAATTATCAGAATGAGTTTTGTGGAGAGTTTTAGAAAATTTCACAGGTTGAAATCATGAGTCAGTTGAAGCTAGACCACCATTGAAAACTTGGCGCAACTTCGTGGATTGGTTGAAGTTAGACATTAACACCGTTGGATGCCGGCTCAGTGGTCTAATGGTTAAGTGCTCGCGCGCGAAGCCAGTAGGTCCTGGGTTCGAATCCCGCGGGGGGCGGGTTCGTGGATGCGCACTGCTGAGGAGTCCCATACCAGGACGAAACGGCCGTCCAGTGCTTCCAGGTTTTCAATGGTGGTCTAGCTTCAACTGACTCACGATTTCAACCTGTGAAATAACTAATTATACAGCATCAATTGTGTTATTTGATGATGACATATTTATGTGTTGAATCAGGAAAATATTCAATAACTATGATCAGTGTTTCGGAATCTTGAGTGACTTGACTCAGAATCGATTACTTTGATACATATTCATTTACTTTTTCTTACTCCTCATGCACTTAATTTCCAATATTCCTTCATATACAACCTTTTATTTAGTCTCTTTTAAACAATAGTTATTTCTAATGTTCACTTATTCTAATTATCATTGCTACTACAGTTATTTTGATTATTTTGGTATTCATCGTGTTCATCTAATCCTGTCTTACTAATTGTTTGAGAAATTGAGTTTATATATATATATATATATATATATATATATATATATATATATATATAGCTTGCTCTACTTGGATCATAACTGGCGGATTGGTAACAATTTATATCGATCGTAATTATCACATTATTAATTCAAAATTAAAGAGTAGGGACATGTTGAAAGAGATACATTTTCTCTTGTACTAGTTAATTACTTTAATAATCTAGTGTATCATTTTAAGTTTAATTTTAAAAGAATGATAATTCACCTTTTCATCAGGAAAAAATTATTGTGAATTCTTGAATGTAACAATCTATCTTAATGATGGTGTGCTTTTTTTCTTTGCATTTTTTTCTCTCGTGGAACAAAAGTACATGAACTGACTTTTACTCACGTCTTAATTATTTCTTGTTTTAATATTTTAAAAAAAAAGACACTTTATAGGTATCAATGTCAAGGTTGGATTTGATAGTTTCAAATAAATTGAGCACTACTGGGTAGAGGATTAAGAATAATTATATTTTTTGTTATATCTTAATGAGTAGAAAAATTGTATTTCTAATGTTAATTTTAATCGATTATTTGTTTGCTCTGAAGAAGTAGTTTACATTAAGTTACGAAATTTCGAAAATACCATTTTTTACGCATTGGTATATAACAAAAATATATTTATTATTATGAAATACTGATATTAACTTAATTTCTTTCCATTTCATCATATATTTGTTTATGCCTAGTGTAATATATCATACATATGATGAATATGCTATCGTGAATAATAAATGAAAATTTTGAACACAAATTCATACACTTACACACAATGGTGGTCGTTATAATGAGCCAAATGCCCTGGTATGGCCGAAAGTGGGGAGAGTCAACTCTCCCTCTCGAAATCCTCTCACATGGCCACGCGTATATAGCGTCTGTCACGGAAGTCCTACTCACTGCCTTCTCGTGTCGGAGGTGTTGTTTACAAAATTGAGAGGACGAAAAGCGAATGTCTTGCGCCTTAACCCGGTCGGTGGACACGGAGAGTCCACCTAGGGAAGTTGGAAAACTCTGATTCCAAACCAATGGTACACATGGGCTGGCTCTAGTATCCTGAAGGAACAAATGGCGTAGAACCAATCGTTTGTTACCGGCTACCATTAGACTGCATCTCTTTACGATGCTCCACTACCTTGTGGATCAGACCTTTAAGTCGAAGGCTAGAAGTGTGGCCCCCCTAAGTAAACCACGTGCTTCGGTTCGGGCACCCGTGTATTATCACAGACTTCACACAAATCAAATGAGATTTGTGTGGCGCATATGTATCTTGTGCCCCTTTGTACTAGTATTTATGTGTTCAAATCAATAAATAAATCCGTTATTCAGAAGAATAATCATTACTTCACAGCTGAGCCATCCAACTCTGAGACCACAATATTCACAGCCAACATCATCTTACGACCTAAACACTAATAAGTGATAATAGAGTTTAATACAAACCTTACTTTATTATCACTGTTGTAGCGCCAACAATCTCTCTCTCTTATTTTTCCTATCTTTCATTCTTTCCTTCCACACACATTCTCTCTCGCTCTCTCATATATATATATATATATATATATATATATATATATATGACTCGCTCTATCTACAAAAGGCAACAACGTACCTTTTACCCATATGATGCTTTTTGTTCACTTTTCTACTGTCTGCTGATATTAAACTTCTTTCAAGCAAATAGTCTATTTGCTTGTATTGAGTAAAAGATGACTTCACAATTTTACAATAATAATAGTAGCATCAATACATTGTGATTATTATTGTTATCATTAATCTTATTAATTGCCTAAACTTTATAACTTATATATCTAGTTTTAAATAAAAATTTGTTTACTATGTGTTATATTTTGTAATTTTCTAGTTAGTGATTATTTTGCATTCCCGATTTAAATATTTGTGAACAGTCGATATGTATTTCAAATTAACCTATATACGGTAAGAAAGTCAACTATAATAACACCGTGTATATAAATAACTACGCGGATTAACACTGGTCATTCTCTAGTATTCTTATATACATGTCGAAGTACATTTGTCAAGTGAAGAAATACCTGACAAATTTCAACTTATCGGTACATAAAAAAACGGCGATCATCACTAGTGGGATATTGATATCTTCCCCTTTACTCTTTGTCATGATTTATAACCGTTTTTTTATAAAATCTTTTTAAGCTATTATATACTGTATAGTGAATGTAGTTTAACAAAACATTCATAAGGTATCTCACAAGCATTACCTATATATACATATATTCATTTCGTATATGTTCTAATATCAAATTAGTTGATCGATAATAAATGTTTCATCCTACGATTCTTACTTTTCTATATGAAGAAAATTAAGGGTCACTAAACTATGTTGTAACATCTGCCCATAGAATTATTGAATATTAGACTGAATTATATTAAACGGTTTGTATTACCTCGTTTGGGGTCCACGCGATAACCATGATAAATGGGTGGAAACTTTTGTGCTATCACAGCTTAAAATCTTCCATAATAGCGTAGATACATCCAGTCTATAGCCTCCTCTATATCTTGAGCACAAATATTACTTTATACATACCCTTCCATTCCATCTTTTTGAACTGTATTCACATTATTCATTATTTTGCATTTTCGTTGCCATTATTTCAATCAATTTAGTATTCATTTTATTCAATTGTTCTCATCTTACTAATATTTTATGACAATTTAGCCCAACTCACATGTTCTACGGACTGTAATTTGATCATCTTTGACTAAGTTAACTTCACCTGATATTTTGTTTAATTTGCTTGATTAACATCATTCTACTGCTGCTAATCTCTTATAAGATTGTTGTTTGCTTACTCACCTTTCTCAATCACGGTTAATATTATTTTTGTTCTTTAATAAATTTTTATTTAGTCATCCGGTCGAATTAGAGACTAATGAAAATGTTAACACAGATAATGATGACGACGATGATGATAATTCCCTTATTGAAATTGATCAATCGAATTGTGTAAATAAAAAGCCAACTATTGAACAAGGTATTTATTCATCGTTAAATGATACTCCATCATTTTTGACAAATGGAAAATTAATCAAGGAAACTGTCAGCAATGAAGATATGGTATTGAATACTACTACTAACACTACCGCTTCTCCATCTACGTTATTATCTGTACAAGGACAAACGGAGATATTGCAATCCGCCACTATTACTACTAATTTTAATCAATCAACTGATCAACAATCATTTATAACATCTTCTGTCCACGAGAAACGAACTTTACCGTCATCAGGTAGTTGACACATTACTTTATCTTTCGTATGTGATAGTTAGTTGTTTATAGAGGAGGAGAGTAGCAACGATTGGAAATATTTACAAAATATATTTTATTTAATATTAGTGTTAAGTAATCATCAAGACGTGTAGAAGTGTAGAATTACTGATTACTTTGTAATATTTAATTTTGTACTTGACCAGTTTTGCCGTTATCCCACAAGATATACCATCTCGTAGTTAAATATAGTGTGTATAAATGTTAAATTATTGAATGACACACATATATGTAATATACAGTCAGTTGGCTGTAGTCGTTCTATCTTCTCCGAAAAATCGATTCGTTTAGGGTTTCACCCTAACTATTTCGGTTAAGTCACTTATAATCATTGTTCGATAATCAGTGGTAAAACGGGGTTTAGAATCTACAGTTATATACTGTTAGACAAAAATAATGATATTGTGTTTAGAGATATAGTTTAGCTAGAAAGTAAATATTTCAGGCCTCTACCCCTGTCAATTTATTCAAACCACGAACCGATCTCAGTCAGTCAACTATTGAAAACTTTGAAGCACCGGATGGCCATCTTGTTCTAGTATGTAACTCCTTAACATTGTGCACTCACGATCTGTAAACGGCGAAAGCTTAAACTCTAAATTACAGTTTGAATCCAATTGTATGCTGCGCCACTGCTAAGGAGTCCCGTACTAGGACGAAACGGTCGTCTAATGCTTTTAGGTCTCCTGTGGTTATTTAACTGAGATCTGTTCATGATTTCAGTAAGATTCAACAATACCCACAACAGATATCTCCAATCGTAACAATTATATTATAAATCTTGGGAACTTCGCATTTCTCAGAATAACTTACTTCAACTAGTCAGTGATTTCATCGACTGATGTCATGGTTTAGTTTAACCCATGGCTAGCATTTTCTCTCAGTCTCTTAATGCACTAGCCGTCTTTACATTTCATAACAGTAGTTGGTGATTGAGCATTTGTAAAACTTTGTCCTCTCCACCTGATTAGTAAATAACAGTCTTTATCTTTTTGGCGAGACTATAATTTATGGACGAACCACTAAGATTTAAGTTAGCAGGTCTTGAATTTTGGCGCGATCTTTCGCTCATTTAGCTAAATAGCATTTAACATTACAGCTGATGTCATTTCGTGATGAAAATATCAAATCTAATTCCTAATCCTAACGTCCAACTGTAAATCCTAATTCTTCATACTAATTTACTATGCTCATTTAACCCTAGTATGTGAATGGAAATTTCCAAGGTCGTTTTAGCATTGCTCAAAGTTCATCCATGACTTTTTTCAGTCCATTTATCATCTTTACACAACAGCTTACCCTAACCTCGGCATAAATAGACAGTTTTACTATATATATAAGGACTGTTTCTAAAACTTCTATTCTCAAACATTGCGGGCTTGCACATTGTCTGAACTTTAAGATAAAGTAATACAAATGCGAACTATTATACTCCAACGTTTATGAAGAAGGGGTTCGGACCTAAAAGTAACTGTCTGGCACTTCATATCTTTCAAGGGTTCTCTAAGTAACACCATTTCTTGATGAAAAATCAATTTTAAATCATAGCAAATGATTTCACAGAATCATCTAACCTAATTCATATTCATATTTATCAGGAATTTGAGAAAATTAATTATTGCTGAACTTGCCATTTGAAATATCACATATATTTACCTGTTACTGTTTTTTTGAAAAAAAACCTTGGATCCCGATTAGACAGTGGAGATTTTCTATCGATCGATACTAATAAACCATTGGAAAAACCTGGGAAATCATTATCACCAGAGAAATCTGTCGTTGTTGCTTCGACAACATCTATATCATCGGATGTGAATAATGACTGTCCATCTTTTACCAGTGGTAATAATAATCGAATGGAAAAAGAAGTGTCAGATAATATTATGAAGACGACTATCCCTGTTTCTTCATACTCATCATCATCAGCAACATCCGTACAGCCAGGTAGTACACTTCGTCATTCATCACGATCTCCTCCTTTAACTATACCTACTAATAGTGTATCCGGTCCTATTTCATCATCTACATCACATTTAGTTCCCAAATTGGTAGAATCAGAGAATACAACAGATAAAATATGTGAGAGTGATTTACGTGAAAGTACAACGAATAAACATAAAACCGGTATTGTAAGTATTATATCAACTCCACAAAATAAACATCCTGCTGATGAGAAATCACAAACTAGTGTACATAATATTACTACTAATACAGAATTATCAACCTCCTCAACTGTGACAGCAACAATGGCTGCTACATCTACTATTCCATCAGGAACAGGACGATCAATTACGAAAATAATCGCTGTCAAACCTAGGGTAAGAGCTAATATAAATAGAAAGTTATCTATTATGTTTTAGTATGATTTGTTAGATTATCTCTTTATCCGTGCTTCCAGTGATTTTCTCTACAAATAAGAATCATTATAGTGTGTAGAATAATCAATTTACTAACGTAACAGGATTTTTCTAGACAGTCAACGTTTAGTTAGTAAACTTAAATCTGTTTATTCGATTATGGAGAACTGTTTGATTGATTAATTCACTTATCTATTAAATGTAAACTCATGTGTTAGGTTTTGAACCTCTCCACAAGAGAGGGATAATAACGTTACCTAGTTACCTTCACCAGTGTAGTTGAAGAGGGGTTCGAACCTGTTGACTACTTCCAACCACATCACGTCTAAAAATAGTCGATGGTATATATATATCCAAACAATGCCTCAATATTTCTTTGATAATTTTGTTCACCTGTATTTTATTCCTCTTTAAATTGTCTATATTTATTTCAGCGAAGTGATCCACAAAAAATGAATGTTGATGAAAAGGAAAGTGTTGTAACCGCGAATAATACACAAAGTAAATTATCCAGTCCTGTTCCTGAGCTTACAACTAATCGACGGTAAGTTAAAGTATTTAATATTTCTTTTTGCAACGAAGAAATTGATCAAAGATGGTAATTAAGTTTCATTGCATGTTTCAGGTTACCTTCGTAATCTTCATATCGTCTTATCTTCGGATTTTACGATACGTAGTAATTCTGAATAATCATTGCTAGGTATTTCAATAAGAAAAAGAAACGACTAAATTACATATGCTTTCTTCACAACGTAAACAGTTTTTAAATAGATGAGTAGTGTCTATATATATGTATAGGATTTTATAGCTTCATAACAAATTTGTTGAAAAAATATCGCGTCGCCGAAATCCGTTTTCTTTAAAATGCCTAAATGAATATTACAAGTCTATCTTGTTTTACTTAATAGGATCTATTGCGACAACTTCTGATGTTAAGTATTTGGAGGGAGTTAACTGGGAATACTTAAACCTAAGTCAAACATGGTCTCATATTAACTGCCTTCATCTACCTAGCTTCTCAACGTAGTCCCTATTTAGTTTCGATCAATGCTGTAGGAGAATGCATAGTATAGTTTTATATGAACTACACTGAAATACAGTAGTGGACATATCAGGCTGTTAGAAAACATTAGAAAGATTGGTTTATTTTTGAGTTCATATACTGGGATGAAATAGTTGTCCTGTGGTTTTAAGATTACGTTCATTCTCTCTCATTCTCGAAGAGCTTTTATACGACGGTGTTTTGATAATCCTTGCTAGGGAGTTTCTTCGCATTGCCTTAAAGCGACGAAGCTGTTGTTTGCAAAATTGAAAGGATGAAAAGTACTTAAACTGGATTGTTGGCTACGTGGGCCAGCCTTAAATAGTTCAAGAACTCAAAATTCCAAATTTATGGCTTCTAGGATACTGAGTGAATTATTGCTATATGAACTCGTTTTCGTCCCTTGCCACCACAGTAAGGTGACTCTTGACGTTGCTTTGCCGCCTTGAAGATTAGAGCTCTATTGCAATAACCTGTGCAATGGCTTTCTAAGAAAAGCAAGTTCTTCGGTTTGTGTGTTCAGGTTAGTATCCTAGCTCACACACAAATATTTTTGTTAGCTAACTACTATGTTTAAAGCCTAATTATACCAAGTTTCATATGAAATCAACGAATCTATAAAAATTCTTTTTCACAATGCTTCTGAGACATAATAAACCTTTTTTCTTCGTATTTTTGTATAATGTTTGTAGAAAATCAATAATCTATCGCTTATTTTGCTGTGAATCAGTAATTTGCAACTTGTATGTTAATTTACATTTTCTGAATTTTTTTTGTCGTTAGAATATCTGTTGTAATGGCGCCAACAAAGTCCGGTGAAACAGAGACACAACGTAGTGTTAAAGCTCGTTATGTCCGATCTACTCGACGATCCACTCAAGGTGTTTCATCAGAAGATGTAGAACAGGCTAAAAAGTTAGCTGATAAAAATATCAACGGTAGTACCGTTGTTTCGGATAATTCCCAACCAATGAATTCTATTGCCACTGTTGATACATCGTCGTCATCAGATAGAACAACATCAACTGATACATCGGGAGTTCCAAATAATAAATCTATAAAGTTAAGTCATACTTCTTCAGCTTGTAATAGAATATATTCAGACAATCCTACAAATCTTTTTCGTCGACTCACCGATACTGAATTATTGAGATCTCGACCTAATTCTGAAACTGTAGCAGGTAGTGGCGATACGTTTACTGGCAGATCATCTGCGCGTACTGATTATTCAACCAACGAACGAGAAACTAATGATACTCGATCTTCAAATCATCCTTCTGTAAGTTTTTGTGTTAATAAAAAATGTTTCATACCTTTGATTTATTGTTAACCGAACTGTGTGTATCAAGTTACTGTACTATGTGATCAACTATTCTAAGTTAACTCTTACCAGGGTGTACTACTTGTTCGTTTGTTTATTTTTCAGTAGTGGTTGAATACACTCAGTTAGGAAATATTCAATCAATGTTTTGTGATAATCTAACAATATTAAATGAATTCTCTCTTATATCTATAATATTTTAATTTAAAAATATTCACCGCCTAAGATTTTTTATTATAATCAATTAACCTGTAACTCCTAGCTTGTGATGTACACAACTAAGTCGTTTAGAAATTAAAAAGTGTGGTTTTCTGTTAATTTTCAACACTATGCTTCCTCCATTGAATGTCTAAATAAATAATCTTTTACAAAATCCATACAGTCAGTCATAAATAATGTAGAACTTAGCAGATATGTATATCATTTTAAGTTCTTACACCAAATCAAAATAGCGAAGTAAAGTTATCAAGATAATTACCAGAGTTTTGAAAGTATCATTAATAATAGTGAAGATTAGATACAAACGATATGATTTGAGAAGAAATAATGAATTCGTGGACTAAAGTGTGTAAACTTTTTTAAATGAAGTTAATACTGTTGTACCATTCTGACCGATCCTGAACCATGTCATACAGCGTCTTCAAATATTGGTGATGATAACTACACGGATTCCAGCCATGTTGTCTGGACTTACCTATACGGCTTATTTCAACAATCAATGACTTGACATAGAGTGACACTGCGCTTCGATTTTACCCAAATGTCCTGGTACGGTCGAAAATGGGGAGAGTCAGCTCTCCCTCTCGAAATGCTCTCATATGGCCACATGCATAAAACCACTGACAGGGAAGTCCTACTCACTGCTTCCTCGCGGCATTACCGTTGTTTACGAAATTGAGAGGACGAAAAATGAATGTCCGGTACTGGATTTGGAGGATCCACCTAGGGGAGTTGGGAAACCCTGATTCAAAACCATTGTTGTACATGGGCTCCAGGATCCTAAGGAAACAAATGGCGTATGAACTACCTGCTTCAGTTTGGGCACCCGTGCAGTATCGCAGCTCTCACACGAATTGAATGACTTTTGTGGCGCATATCCATTTGGTGCCCCCTTGTACCAATGTTTATTTGTGTAAATAAATAAATAAAAGTAGCTGAAATAAGAAGTAACTATACGGTTTCTCAATGATGATACATAGTAACTAGGTCGGTAACGTTTTAGTAATATTTGGTGCCTCCTTGTATTAACGCTTATTTGTTTAAATAAATAACAAATAAGCTTTCTTCCAACACTTCCCTGTTCACAGATTGAAATCATGAGTCAGTTGAAGCTAGACCACCATTGAAAACCTGGAAGCACTGGACGGCCGTTTCGTCCTGGTATGGGACTCCTCAGCAGTGCGCATCCACGAACCCGCCCCCCGCGGGATTCGAACCCAGGACCTACTGGCTTCGCGCGCGAGCACTTAACCATTAGACCACTGAGCCGGCATCCAACGGTGTTAATGTCTAACTTCAACCAATCCACGAAGTTGCGCTACCATACACCATTGTCTTCAGTGAGTTCTTATCTCACAACAGACCTGGTTGAACTCCACTGGTAACGACTTCTCACTAGAACTCCAGAAGTGTCTCCTGAAGTCAGTCACTAGTGAGCAGGTGATTATTATTATCAGAATGTGTTTTGTGGAGATTTTTAGAAATTTTCACAGATTGAAATCATGAGTCAGTTGAAGCTAGCCAGTAAAAGTAGGCGGTTGTTGAGCATGCGTAATATGTATTATTTTACCACTTCAGTCAATGATAATTTACTACATTATCAACTAATATGCCATCTTTTTCTTGTACTCTGTATCTGATCAGTACAATGGTGACCGATAGAAATATGTTTCATTTATTAATATCCGTAATATCAATATACTTACAACTAGTGTTTGTTAGGATTAAGTGGTCACTCTAATCCATCTACTGTGTTTAGTCAGTCAGTCAAACACAGTGTAGAACCTAGCCCACGTGTACATCAATTCAAGTTGGCATGCCAAATTAATTCAGTGAGATGAAATTGTCAGCACAAACATCGTAGTAGTAGTAGTAGTTTATGAAAAATCTAGCGGCTGTTGATCGCTTTGTTAAACTCGCAAAAAATTTCATCAAAATAGATTTTAGTCTTCAATGACCCTAATTATTTAAATGCTTTATTATTATATTTGTAAAGTTCATCGGTTGTCAGTTACAGTTTATCCTTTTTTTCAAATCCAGTTAGTTTAACAAACGATAGACACTTATTTTGAGTTAAATTTAAGTAAAAATGATTAGAATCCATTTGGATTGAAAATTTTTTCTCGTAAATCATTAGTTGAAATATAATTCTCCTAATAAACATTATCAAATTGATAACGATATTTCATTTTTATCTGTGTATATTCTTTATCATCACTCCCATTGTTGGTAACATAAAAACTGAACCCGAAATTTAAAAGTGACCAAATGTAAATAAAATCAGTCAAATGTAGCGATATATAGAACGTTCTGTTCAATAAGGCTGTCACTAATGTTCACTGATAGGAACTTGTTTTCTGTATCCGTAAAGAATAAGCTTCCTCGTTTGGTCTCCTTTATGTGCATCTGCCAGTTCATCTGGTGTATATATATCCTGAATTTAATAAATTTTTTATCTGTCTCTTCTACATATCCATGTCATCCATTTTTAATTCCCCACCATTTCTCATGATTTCTTTTTTTGGTATACTGTTACTACTTTGAATAAAATACCACCTTGTTCAGTGTTCTTACCTCTTAAAATCTATCACTTTTCTTCGACCACCTTCTAAAATTCATAGGATTAACTAACGTGACCTTCAAGAAAATGTATCCAAAGAAAAATGTGTAAAGAAGATGTTAAACTGATAATCAGTAATCATTAGTGAGTACGGCAAGCAACAAGCTTTGATAGGAAATTCACATAGGTTCAGTGAGAAGCTATGACCGTTGATGTTCTACCCGTGTCAAGTGTGAGGTAGTTACTCACCGAAGACCATGAAAGTTGGTCGCGCAATATCGTGAACTGATCGAAGTTCAATATTAACATAATCGGATGCAAGGTCATTGGTTTAGAGGTTAAGTGTACACATGCGAACCCGAATGCTCTGCGTTCGAAGCCCTTTGATCAGAGGTCATTGATGTCCACTGCTGTAAAGTTTCATACCAAGACAAAACGGCTGTCCAGTGCTTCCAGATTTTTAATGTTGGTCTAACTCCCGTTCAAAAAATTCTACGGAATACACCAATCTCTACAACCGTATACATACAAAATATTATTTTTCATAGACACTATTAACATTTTCTATCAATACCAGTGTTCCAATTTTCACTTTATAACCTTGATTGTGTTAGGTTGCGGTATACGTTTATGATACTACAATACTCCTGAACTATCTGTATTATTTCCCAATACAGAATATATATATGCTTTTATGTGACCTTCTGCTTCTGTACTATCATGCGAAATTATTTTATTGATCAGCATATAGTTGCATCCCTTCAATTCACAATTATTTTGATTATCCTGGCATAAGCATCAGGATAGAGATATGGACACAGATATATATATATATATATAGGATAGAAATGAACTTTGTTGTATTTTGTGAATGTTTTTTTCGGCGCAAAACAATACAATATGGGTATCTTCGATTGCCTGTGTATTTTGTAAATCATACCATACTGTGCAGTATTAATAATAATAGTGTAAGGTATGTCTGGTCAATATAATAAAGTGTGTACATGTACGCATTCTGTATACAGACTAGTGATATGCTTTATTAAGAAAAAATAACACTTGTAATGATCGAAATGTGTAGTTCATGCGTAATATCTGTGTATGATGGTTACAAAAGTTTCATATTAAATTAAATAACTGGGTGATTCTTTGCGGTACCACGTGATAAGAGTTTTAGAAATCTTAAATATCAAAACACAATATAATTATTCAATGGAATTCAATGATATTTCTTTTCTTCAAAGCATCACAGACCAAATTGTAAATAGGAAATAATCTCCTTTCTTAAAGAAAGATTTTTGCTGTTATTGTTACTTTGTGTTCGTTAAATTTTTTTTGTTTTTTGCTATTATTCACCGTGAAAATTGGTCGTAGTACATGCACATGCATTGAAGCATTTGACAATGAGATGAATTGATGGTATCTAATCAAATAAATATACTGCTTACAGAAGAATAAATCATCTATTCTGTTTGTTAATAATGGTCATGTCTCATCATAATGTAAACGATATTTTACATACATCTTAGTAGGATGCAAAAAAATCTTCAGTATCGATGTTGGATAACAATTATGGAGTACTGATTATAAGATAATGAATTGGTTTCCATGGTACTGAGTGAACGTTCATCCGTTGATGTGTGTCAAATTATCATTTAGAGCGACTGAGAGAGAGAGAGCTATACTGTGTATACTAAGAGTAGATTAGTGAACTTTTGATGTCATACAAGTTTAAACATTGCCTAATGTAATTATCAATTATTATGCTGAGCCGTGTCATATGGTAGATGCTTCTCAGTGCTTATGATTGATCTTCATATGTTGAAGATCTTGTCACGGCTTTGTAGATATTTTACAATTGTAATTTTTGTTTCAATGGTGTGCCTCAATGTTAGTCCATCATTAACTAACTATATTTCCTGTGTTCAATATATATATTCTTTTACTAATATTAATGCAACTATTTTGAATTCTGTAGATTTTCTGCATATAATTTATTGCTGTTTATTGTGTTGATTTAAAATCTTAATAACAAGAACCAATTACACTTGAATTATGTCGATTAATCAGATCTACGGTGTTTTGTTTTTTAACTGAGAGTATAGGATAAGGTAATGTATTCTCAAGTGAGAATAGATAAAGATTGTAGGTTGTATTCTGTAAATGGTCGTTGCTATTCACTTCAGCCGCAAACTAGGATGCAACAATTGTCCAATCACTCTCTCCTATAATATAGCATCTGATACATCATACTACATCATCACAATAATATAATAATAGTATAATATCAGTAATAGTTGAAAACATGGGATATAAAAAGTATTATGGTGTATGCTACTTGTGTCTGTCGACATAACTTGTATTTAACACCAATCGTAAGTGGAAAACCTCCTAGCAGAAAGCTAAGAAGATCAAGTTGAACAAAACAGAAAGAGAAATAGGAAGGAATTATGAATTGGAAGAATCATACAGAGTGTAAAGGACAAGTAATGAAAGATTTGCAAATCAATTATTCAATGTATGATTCTCTTATTTTATGATGACATTTTGTAATATTGTATTCAACAATAAATTGATCATCCCCAACAAATCTTCATTCATTACAGTATAGTTTGTGTAGAACATGTAAATTCGCGGAATCAAAAGTATAAAGTAGTAATTTTTAAACCTGAGGTATAAAGAAAAACAAGGACAAATTTATTTGTTTTGACGGAATTTATTTTAAACTATATCATTCATAATCTCTTACTATTGATCATGATAATTATCTGATTTTTCAACCATTGTTAGTTTACACATACCATTTCATGTAATAATGTCTTAATTCCAATCCCAATTCCGCCCATTAGCACTTTTCCAACTTATTCCTTAGCCGGGGGAATATCACTTATCGAAATAGTTGTCTAGTGTTCTTTCTCTATTTCATTTTCATTGATTATATATTTAAAGTTAATCTCTGATTTTAAAAAAACTGATCTCTAAGTGTACAAAAACGTTTTTTTGGTTTCATCGTAAATAATTTTTTATATCTAATGAGCAGAAAAGTGTAACCTTTTAATAATGCAAAACAATTTGGTTTTTCAATATGTTTTTTCTACTGATAAGACAACATCTGTCAGTTATGATTACATTATCATACCGAAATTCCTTATCAATGATTTTCTATCCAAATAAATTCATATTTCTTTCATTTGTTTTTTTTTTTGGTGTTGTTGTCGTTGAAGGCTTCAACTGGTCGTCATGTTAACTTCTCAGGTGAAACAAACACGAATTCTTCTACATATGATGGTAATTCACGACGGTCAGCCTATATTTCACAAGTACGATCTGTAGAGCATAGTAAGTTTATCATATTTCTGAAAATAATGTGGTAACTTGGAATAAAAGAGGAATATTTAAATTTATAATGTGTTGTATACATTTTCAAAGTGTAAAGCGCATGTAACCTATGTCTAAACCGAACTATAATATCTTTTCTTAAAGTTGATTGCTGGTTTATAGTTGAATCTAAGACATACTTACTTACTTACTTACTTACTTACTTACTTACTTACTTACTTACTTACTTACTTACTTACTTACTTACGCCTGTTACTCCTCGTGAAGGAGCATAGGCCGCTCACCAGCGTTCTCCATCCAACCCTGTCCTGGGCAATCCTTTCTAGCTCCGTCCAGTTGTAATTCATCGTTTTCATATCTGCTTCTATTATCCGACGCAATGTGTTCTTTGGCCTTCCTCTTTTTCGCTTCCCCTCAGGATTCCAAGTTAGGGCTTGCCTCGTGATGCAGTTTGACGATTTGCGTAATGTATGTCCTATCCATTTCCATCGTCTTTTCCTAATTTCCTCTTCAGCTGGAAGTTGCTTTGTTCTCTCCCACAGAAGGCTGTTGCTGATGGTATCCGGCCAATGGATGTTGAGTATCTTGCGAAGGCAGCTATTTATAAATACTTGTACTTTCTTGATTGTGGTTGTTGTAGTTCTCCAAGTTTCAGCTCCATACAGTAGAACTGCCTTGACGTTCGTATTGAAGATTCTCACTTTGATATTGGTTGAAAGTTGTTTTGAGTTCCATATGTTCTTCAATTGTAGGAATGCGACCCTTGCTTTACCGATCCTCGCCTTTACGTCTGCATCTGAGCCTCCTTGTTCATCGATGATGCTTCCCAGATATGTGAAGGATTCTACATCTTCCAGAGTTTCGCCATCAAGAGTGATTGGATTGCTGTTCTCCGCTTTGAATTTGAGGACCTTAGTTTTCCCTTTGTGTATGCTGAGGCCTACTGATGCAGAGACTGCTGCTACACTGGCTGTCTTCATCTGCATCTGTTCGTGTGTACGTGATAGGAGGGCTAGGTCATCTGCGAAGTCCAAATCGTCTAATTGATTCTGAGCTGTCCATTGTATTCCATGTTTTCCTTCAGATGTTGAGGTCTTCATAATCCAGTCGACCACCAGGAGAAAAAGGAAGGGAGAGAGTAAACAGCCTTGTCTGACTCCGGTCCTTACTTGGAATGCATCCGTCAGCTGTCCTCCATGCACTACTTTGCACTGTAGTCCATCGTATGAGTTCCGGATAATATTGACAATCTTCTCAGGAATTCCGTAGTGTCGAAGAAGTTTCCATAACGTCCTCCTGTCTACACTGTCGAATGCCTTTTCATAATCAATGAAGTTGATGTATAGTGATGAGTTCCACTCAACTGATTGTTCGACGATGATCCGTAGTGTTGCAATTTGGTCTGTGCACGACCGATCCTTACGGAATCCAGCTTGTTGATCTCGAAGTTGGGCGTCTACTGCATTCTTCATCCGGTTCAGCAACAATCTGTTGAAAACTTTGCCTGGTATTGACAGTAGTGTTATGCCTCTGTAGTTTTCACATTTGCTCAGATCTCCTTTCTTTGGAATCTTGACGAGGTGTCCTTCTTTCCAGTCCATCGGCACTTGTTCCTCCTCCCAAATCTTTTTGAATAGAAGATAAAGCATGCTTGTGGTTGCTTCGATGTCTGATTTCAGTGCTTCAGCTGGTATGTTGTCGGGTCCTGATGCTTTCCCGTTCTTGATTTGTCTGACGGCCATTCTAATTTCTTCCGTAGTTGGTGGATTGACATCTATAGGAAGATCTATGTGTGCTGCTTCGATGTCCGGTGGATTCATTGGAGCCGGCCTATTCAGGAGTTCCTCGAAGTATTCTACCCATCTGTTACGTTGTTGTTGAATTTCGGTGATTGGCTTGCCTTCTTTGTCTTTGACCGGCCTCTCTGGTTTACTGTATTTCCCTGATAGTTTCTTCGTTGTATCGTAAAGCTGTTTCATGTTTCCTTCTCTAGCAGCTTTTTCTGCCGTCGTTGCTAGTTCTTCAACGTATTTCTTCTTGTCGGCTCTAATGCTCCTCTTCACTTGTTTGTTTGCTTCTATGTATTCAGCTTGTGCTTGGACTTTCTCTGCTCGTGTTCGGCTGTTGTTTATTGCTGCCTTCTTGTTCTTCCTTTCTTTGATCTTGTCCACTGTTTCTGTAGAGATCCATTCCTTATGATGGTATTTCTTTAGACCGAGAACCTCTTGACACGTTGAAGTTAATGCTTCCTTGATGCCTTTCCAGTTGTCCTCCATAGTAGTTTCTTCTTCTTTCAGTAGATCTCGTAAGGCTTGGAACCTGTTGTTGAGAGCTATCTTGAATTCATTGAGTTTGACAGTATCTCGAAGGAAGGCTGTATTGAACCTTTGTATTGCTGTTTGTCCACTTGTCCAGTTCTTTTTTAGCTTCAGTTTCAAATTGGCTACAACTAGGTGGTGATCTGAAGCTACGTCAGCACCTCTCCTGGTTCTCACATCTTCCATTGTCCTTCGGAATTTTTTGTTGATGCAAATATGATCTATTTGGTTCTCTGTAGTGTGGTCCGGTGAGATCCATGTAGCCTTGTGTATACGCTTGTGTGGAAATATTGTGCCTCCTATGACCAATTTGTTGAATGCGCATAGATTTGCAAATCTTTCTCCATTTTCGTTTCTTTCTCCCAGTCCATGTCGTCCCATAATATCTTCATATCCAGTGTTGTCTATTCCGACTTTGGCATTTAGATCTCCCATTAGAATGGTGAGGTCCTTTCTTGGGCATTTCTCTATCACTGACTGCAGCCGCTCGTAGAATTGATCTTTAATGTCGTCGTTGCTATCATTGGTGGGTGCATAACATTGGATAATATTCATTAAGATCCCCTCCTTCTTTGTTTTGAATGATGCTTTGATGATTCTGGATCCGTGAGATTCCCATCCTACAAGTGCATTTCGTGCTACTTTGGACAGCATAAGAGCGACTCCCTGAGTGTGTGGAGCATTTTCCTCTTCGTGACCGGAGTATAGCAGCATCTCTCCCGCAGCTAGCCTTTTCTGTCCAGCTTGGGTCCAGTGGGTTTCGCTGATTCCCAGTACTGCTAAGTTGTATCTCCTCATTTCCATTGATATTTGACTGGTCTTCCCGGTTTCCCACATTGTTCGAACGTTCCGTGTACCTATAAAAATTTTTGCTCTGGTTGTTAGAAGGGGCATCGGCCTCGTGGCTTCCGAAGGAACTCGGCTTTCACCATGAAGCGTCATAATTCTTCTAAATGAAGACCTTCTAACTCCCAGGGCAGAGTTAAAATGGTTTGGATTATTTTTTCTGGTAAGCGTTTTTTTAGCGAGTTAGTTTTCTACGGGATGGGGACGCTAACCCCATGCCCAACCCTCCTCCTTTACCCGGGCTTGGGACCGGCAGCAACCCTATAAGAGCTACAGGCGGAGTTTGATTGCTGGTTTATAGTTGAATCTAAGACATACGTTTTGTCTTATTTGGGGTTCGTCGGCTATATATATGCATATGTTGTTAGTATTCACACTGAGACTAACGTAACCCCTTTTTCGCTGGAAACGCTGAACGCATTATACACTGGGCTACTGAATTGGATGAGAATGTCATGATTGAGGTATAGCTATATCCATTTGGTGAGTTCTAAATCGGTTGAAACTGGCGTCCGGTATTCCAATACTAGTCAATATCGATTTTTAATAAAAGTTTATTAATAATTGGCAGTGCCAAATTAATCTGCTTACGATATAAATTTACCAATAGAGTTTAATTGCGTACAGTCCTTAACTTCAACGACAAGAAACTACAAATGTTTACAAATAGAACTGTGTAGGTTATTTATAATTGTAGTTTATAGTTTAAATCACGAACTGCTCTCAGCTAAATCTTCATTACAAACCGAAAATCATTACGCGGCTGTTTTGTTGTAGTGTGGGATTCCTTAACAGTGCGGATTCACTGTCCTGCAGCTGTGAAAATCTCACAATTTTCACAAATTCTTCTTATACTAATATATATATTTAAATTACTCAGTGAAATTAGCGCGTCGCACATCTGCAGCATAAAATTCAACAGAGTTGTTAAAATATTTTTTATGTAGGAAACTTAACTAGTGAATACCTATAGAACTTATACTTTGAAAAAGGTTTAAATCAGGTAATAATAATGATAGTAATCCATTCATTACAACAAGTTACCTAGTTGGGTAAACAAATACACTACTCATATAAGTTGGGTTTCTTTTTGTACTCTCCAATGTATAATCCTTACTGATAGCTAGTAAGGTTTGCTTTTGCATACATGTAATTTCTTGAGTTTGTAGAATTAATCAAGCTAAGTTAATGATGATTCTGCAATATGGTATATTGATTGAATTTATAAATACCAATTAATTGATTCCAACTTAGTAATTCACAGTTAACCTTCACTCATCGCGACACCTAAATCTTCTATGTTTAATTTCTAGTAGACTAAATATTTTGAGTGTTCATTGCTAGGCAATTCGATACTTTAGATCAAACAGCTGTTCACTGGCTTCAATTTTTTCAATGGTTGTATCTACTTAAAAATGAATTTGTGATGTAAATCACCCACTCCCCCCCCCCAAAAAAAAACAACTTAGTAATTGACTTTGTTTGATGTTATCCACTTACGTAAGTTCGATTAATTGTCTGTTATGAATACCTCTTTATTTGTTATAGAGCCATATAGAGAAATTGCATCAAATCATTGCACTATTTTACTTTTATTCATTCTTTATATAACCAATTACCACCTATTCACTTTATTTCACTAGGTCAAGAAGTGCGAATCATGTGTTTATGTATATATATCTATATATGTGTGTGTAATACACGAATTGTTCTGGCTTAATACATTAATTAGTAACTGAAACACAAACAAATAAACATTACTTTTGTTTTAATTAATGTAACATGAATTATTATTATTATTATTATTATTATTATTATTATTATTATTATTATTAT